CAGTCCGAGAAGAAATGCGACAAGTTAACGAGGTATAATACACATATCTACTTATTATATAACTTATTCATATATATCCCGCCTTTTCGTAGTAATTGCTCGAAGTCAAATATCAAGGCTATCTTTTTTATTTAGCATATATGCTCTCTTTTTCGAACATGCGTATCGAGGATGCGTACGGCGGAAAAGGAATAAACTTTATTTCGTTATCTTTCCTATAGAAAAGCTGGTAACGTTTTACTTTGATTTTTTCATATCAACCTGTTTTATGGGACTACTGGCTGTTATCCCCTACGATAATTAGGTAATAAAAAAGATCACGTGGATTTCACCATCAGCCGATTTCATCATCAGCCGTGACAATTATTAATAAGATTTATTTTTTATAACCTTGCTCTCTAGCTTTCAACCAAAACATAATATGTTAAAATTATATCAACCTACAGTAACAGGAAGGAAGGCTGATTGGACTTGTAAACGTTATCGCAAAAACAGAATGTTTCATGTCGCGTGTTTATTTGTTACGTCATTAACAGATAATAGTAACACAACACGTCATTTTTTGGAGACTATAAACCCTTTGATAACTCTTGAGATTGAGTAGAGAACGTCGTCATGGACGAAATATTAACGAAACTTGCCGTTCACACTGCCACGCTGGCAAGTACATAGAAAACTGATTTGGAATTATATACGTGTATAAGATCGTGACATATGCCAATATTTATTCAATAGGTCGGCAAAGCAGCTTTTGCCTACAGCACGAATTATGCAATGGTAAAGTATCTATTAGCTTATTCAAGCGGAAAATTGTTGACATCATAACTGTCTATTTACTCGGCCAAAAACTTGTTTGCTGTAGAGACAAGTCGCCAACTACATTAAACAAGATTCTACAGTTCGTAAAATCGATACTAGTGAACTTGAGCATGCTCGTGAGGTATTATTGCGGGTGATATTTACTTTATATTGTTTCGTGACTCGTTTATTAGCAAAGTATACTGGTCGTCACTGGTCAACTTTCTACTGATCTACCGCAATAAATTGCGTGCTTTTTTTTTGATATTGTGTCTTTTAACTTAAGTTCACATATTCTTTCCCTCTTTGCTATCAAAGAGTCTGGATATAAGTATCAAGATTGTTCAGCCAGCCATTGATCTTATCGAGATTATAAGTCAACGCGGCAATACATCTCTCGAACCGGCAGTAGAAAGAACCTTACAGCTGCGTAAAGAGATCGATGCGTTCGCTCATAAGATAACTTCAACGGCCGAGTCAGATGATACAGCCAAAATGCGTAAATTTGACCATACGGCAATGATAAAGGACATGCAAGCATTGACCAACAAGATAGAGAAATTCGTACCATACTTGAACCTCGTCCTGGCGACAAGTGGAACTAATGTAGGACAATAGTTGATGCCTCATTTGTTTGCATTAGTTTGTTTCTAATTCTGTATTGCTTTTCTTTCCCTGGTTGTCAGCTTGGCTGGTCCCTTCCCAATTCTGTTAGTCCATCACGATTAATGCAAGCATCCTCTCTATTGAATGACACGCATCACGAATTCATCAAGTTTACTGAGCCATCTATTCGTGTTGGCTCTCCTTTCAAAGTGAAGCTATATTATCTATTTGCGGGCAACGTTCGCCCTAAATCGGTTGGCGATTTTACCTGGAAAGAGGAATTTACAAAGTGTGATGCCGAAGTCATTCGAATACGAAATAATAATCACGGTAATGAAGAAGGAGAGTTCTGTTACGAGTTAATATTGACAGAAGATCTTAATGACGGTCGATATCACGAGGAGTTTGATATGGGCGATAGAAAGAAACAGAAAGAAACTATTGCTAAACTAGGCAAGAGTAATGTAATTATCCCCGGAAAAGTGAAAAGGATTACTGTCAGAAACATATCAAGATTATATTACAATTCTTCAGGATCATTATTAAATATAGAAGAGAGTAAATCGCCCGTATTGGTGATCACTGTAATCAAAGGAGCACCAACTAATAGACACGAAAAATTATCGAGCGGAGTAACAGACAATCCATTTTATGTTCCTCCTCCGGCTACTGCTCCTGCTACGCCAGATACGAGAACTAGGAATTCATATGATACTGGGAATACAGACTATTATGGAATTGAATTGTTCCAGGAAGCAATCGTCGGAGAAGAGGACATAGAAGAAAGGGAGGATGCTAATGAAATAGATAGCGATAGAGATGACGCAGAGTCTTTTCCGTGTAGTCCTACACCAAAGACACAGACGCCAAGTACACCTTTGCGTGATCCATCTTTGATTAATAGAAGCTATTCTACGCCACCAGCGAAAACTCTGACGGAAGTAGGGAGTCTTAACACTCCTTCAAGAATACCATTACCTCAGAGTGATGATGACATAGCGAGTGACGAGAGTACGATAGAGGACGATCTGACTGAAACAGGTGGTGTAGAAGACCCAACGGCAACCGAAGCTGAGCATGTTACTTTAGAATCATCTCCCGAACGGGTTATACCTAGTGGTCAAATACAAGATGACAGTGTCGCAGATAGTATTGATAATAATGATGATAATAAGGGGATGAGTGATACGTTGAATGATTTTGAAGCATATCGTTCTAATCTTAAGACACTTAGTCTTTTCGAATACATTCTTCGATTAAGTGCTCTCGAGATGTCTGAGCAAAAACAGCATCTTGAGATAAGTGATGAGAAAATTAATCTTTTCATTAAAGACGATGATGGAACATCCACTTCAACATCCACTTCTACAGTCCTGGAAAAAATCAATGGCGGTTAGACTTTTTTTGTCAAAAAGAAATTTTACATTTAGAATACTTGTAAGTTTATTTGTATTCACCGAAATAATTAATACATGATGTGCCCTCCTTCTGCCTCACTGCGTAATTTAATACAATTTTCATACTATTAATATCGTTTGTGATAAGCTCTAATGAAAAACTTTACCGTTCTCTTCCACAAATGCCTCTTTTGATACTCTTTTTTTCTTTCTGTAATGTTAAGGCCAGGCTACATGAAGGTCATAGGCAAAACCCTTCCTGGACGACGTTCTTTGCAAGCGTCTTTTGATGTGTGTTTAGGATCGTTGTCTTGAAAGCTCATTATGGACAATCCGTTCAGTAACAGCTATTTTTCTAGTGCAACTTTTCTTGACGATCCTAGAATAATTTGACCTAATTTCCGAATTTTAGGAATATGTCTCTTTTTTCGAAAAAGGCTGACAAAATTGAAGAAGTGGGACACCAGTTAACTAAGAAATTGTTATTATGTTCCGTGTCCATGATCCCAAAAACGCACTTCGCGTCTGACAAGCAAAACAAAAAATTTTTACAATCTCTATAATTTGTTTTCCAATTTGGACCTATTCATGTCATGTAAAGTAAATAAGCCTTGTCTCTAGTTTTAGTTTTGTTTATCTCATTATTATGCGTTTATAAGTTCATCATTTCTAACTTTGAGTTATTGTACTAGTACTACAAAATAGTTCCATCTAAACACAAACATTTTTAAAGCACGAAACTTGTAAAGTTTCCGAATATGCTCGCAGACAAATTTCACTTAAAACTATATATTGGAATTTCAGAAATCTTAATGAAACTGGAAATACTAAAATTCTAAGTGACTTCGAAAGGTTTATTATATGGTTGAAGAATATAGTAATATTCCTAATAATTTAATACACTCACTGGACATAAGTTTGTCCCCAAAATAGTATGGTGGGGGACATCAAACAAAAATCGATGTGTTTCTAACAGCAATACAAGCATTACTGTATATGTATTAATAATTCAAATACCATTTTGTTCTTCTTGATAAACGTTAACAAATTACGTTTAGTATTAGAAAATTGACAAATGTTACATGTGGTTTGAGATATAATAAAGTTTGGTTAATTTATATAGTGAGCGGAAATTTGAAACAGCCTTTTCTGGTAAAATTTATCTTAAATCTGGTGCATTCTTAAAGCTTTAACAAAAAAGAAAATATTAAACTTATCGAGTTTACCAAGGCAAGTTAATTCTGGAAATTAGTCAACCCGCTAATATTTTTTACTACTTGGAATTTGGGGGCTTCCAACTAAGTTATAATTGGTATGGACGAACCCGAATAACTAAAGAATTAATTGGTAAACTAAAAATTTATCACAAGATTATTCACTTAGATATTCGGTTTGCTCATCATCTGGCTAATTTGGCTACGAACAATAATGTTTCCTTTTTTCACTCGCTCACCACCAAACTTCAGGCAGGAAAATGAGATACAGTGTGTAACGAAAAAAACCGCCTTCCAAAAATTGAACTTATTTTGTAAACAAACAAGGAAGCGTGTTATTGATAACAAACGCGTCTTAAAATTTAATTAATTTTCATGTTTGTAAACGTATTTAAGTAATAAATGGCTTGATTAGTCCCGTTGTTCTTCCTCTTGCCCTTTGCAACCATGGTTAACTCGAAACTTGAAACCCAACGACAAACAAT